AAAATAGAAAGGCCGGGTGTGGTGGCTCACGCCTGTAATCCCAGCACTTTGGGAGGCCGAGGTGGGTGGATCACCTGAGGTTGGGAGTTCAAGACCAGCCTGGCTAATATGGTGAAACCCCATCTCTACTAAAAATACAAAAATTAGCCAGGCATAATGATGGGTGCCTGTAATCCCAGCTACTCGGGAGGCTGAGACAGGAGAATCGTTTGAACCTGGGAGGCGGCGGTTGCAGTGAGCCAAGATCATGCCACTGCACTCCAGCCTGGGCAACACAGAGTGAAACATCATCTCGAAAAAAAAAAAGAAAGAAAGAAAGAAAAAGAAAGGGGAAAAAACAGCCCTACCTGGGCCATTGGCCTCTCTCTCCGGCCAACCCTCCCTGAAGTTCCTTCTCTGGCACCTGCTGCCACTCTGAAGGTCCTAGATTCCATGCTGAGGTGCCAGGGGCCAACCCCAGCCTGTGCGCCAACGGCACGAGGATTTCTATTTTCTTGACTCCTTCACACCAGGGGACACCACATGGGCCTCAAGCCCCTGGGATTATAGGCGTGGGAGCAGCTTCAGGGTCCTGGGCCAGTGCAGGGCTGGGGACTGACTCTCTACTTCCAAGGCAGCTAGTCCCCAGCAGGAGCCTGGAGGCTTCCCCCAACCCTCACCTCTGCCCCAGGAAAGTTAGGACTGTGCGGTTCATGCTCTGCGGTGGCTTCCCACTGGATGGCCACTGCAGAGCGCCACAAGTGCCTCTCACCCCAGTGGCACCCACCTGCACCCAGGAAGTGCTCAGCAGGTACCGTGGAGACCTTGGGTCCTGCCTGCCCTGCCTCCATCCGGCCTCCCTCTGAGAAGAACCCTCTGCACTCAATCCACCTCCGGGGTCAGGAGTGGGCACCTGACCAGGCCTGGCCAGCCAAGGTATCCGCTCCTGGCTACGGGGACTGGTTCAGGAGACCTAAGTTAACCCAGCAAGACACCATCCCAAGAGGCTTCCCCTGCTAAAGCACGAGATGAAAGCCTGGGGCTGTGGAGATTGCAGGGAAAATGAAACCGACTTACAGGAAGGCAGAGAAGAGAACTGACAGAGAAAGGGAAAGAGGAGAAAGATAATGTCTTTTTTGTTTTTTGTTTTTTTTGAGAAGGGTCTTGCTCTGTCACCCAGGCTGGAGTGCAGTGACACAATCTTGGCTCACTGCAACTTCCACCTCTCTGGTTCAGGTGATTCCCCTGCCTTAGCCTCCCACATATCTGGGTTTACAGGCGCCCACTACCACGCCCGGCTAATTTTTGTATTTTTAGTAGAGACAGGGTTTCACCATGTTGGTCAGGCTGGTCTCGAACTCCTCGAGCTCCTGGATCCTGGAGCTCAGATGATGCCCTTGAGACTTGATCTTTCGGCCGGGCGCGGTGGCTCACGCCTGTAATCCCAACACTTTGGGAAGCCGAGGCAGGTGGATCACCTGAGATCAGGAGTTCGAGATCAGCCTGGCCAACACGGTGAAACCCTGTCTTTACTAGAAGTACAAAAATTAGCCAGGCATCGTGGCACATGCCTATAATCCCAGCTACTCGGGAGGCTGAGGCAGGAGAATGGCGTGA